GCGAGTTGTTAAAAACATTAAGATTATGAAGATTATTGATGCGTATCCACCCAGTATGAAACATTACCTAAAACACGGCATTCCTTCGATTTTTAACGTGCCGCGTTTCTCCAAGTTAATGGCAGCCATGACACGTCAGCGTCGTTTATGCAGACACTTTGAGCCTGGCCGGCTGGGCGCCATTAGTAGCACCACGTACTTTAGATAGGTGTACGCAGGGCAAAGAGAAAGAAGAATGAGTGATTTAAGCGTTGGCTGAGGCCGAGCCAGAAAACGATCTCGATAGAGACCCATCAAACTAATGAAACGTACCGAATCCGCTTTAGTTACGACCGACAACAAGCAAACCTTTGGAGGAGAGAAGAAAAAAAACTCGGGGGCATCGGAGAGGTGCATTAGGTGCTTAAGTATTTAACAGTGTTTAACACAATATACCTGACAATATCTCCAGCTACCTATATTTGTTGGTATGAACAAACGAAAATGCTTCAACAGCAAATCTCACATCAAAGGAGTTCCATTCATGCTGAAAACTGAAAAACCACAGAAAAGTTTTAAATCTCTACTCAACTATGTGTATTTTCTATTTTGTAATCCTAAAGTATCTAAAATTGTGAGAGAAATAAATGAAAACTATTTTACGATGTCTTTTTATGATAAGTGTGGTCCGGCACTGTCGCCATGTTCTGTTGTTTTAAGGAAAACTATTTTCGACCGGGCACCGAAAGTCGATATGCTTAATTAGGTGAACCTGCCGCTCGTCACCGCTCGTTTCGTGCGTTGTCCTCGAGTTCCACCTCTTCGGAAAGCTGGTATGTCGCTCGAAAAAAATAAACAAGCGAGTGCACTGCCACAGCCGTAAAATAGACAAAACAAGGAAACATTCAAGTACTTATTACACAAATATCTCCGAACTGGACTGGAAAAAGCCTCAGCGACACGATAAACACCAAACACAACAACAGTTCACGCAACAAAACGAAACAAAATCATGGAATCTAATTTTAAAATAGAGTGCAAAGAGCGCATGAAGACACTCAAGACAAATTACACAAGTTTACGGATAGTTAAGATTAAATTAATTGAATAAGTTATTTCATAGCTGTGTGGTTTTCGAAAAAATCTCAATTATTTCCACACCGGATGTTTCCCAAAGCGTACACACACGCAAAATGCAAATAAACAACAATTAATATGACATTATAACATAAATCGTAAAATTGTGCGGCATGTAAGCGCGGCCTATAAATATATAAACTGAAACTTAACGTCGAAAGGAATGTCGGCATTAATTCCTTTCGGCATTCTGCGCACATGTATCGACAATTCGACATTACGCTAAACATTTCAATGAAACAAACGCCGCCTAGACTCACTCGCGGATATATATTAGATGAATGCGAACGGTACATGACTTTATGCTTCTTTAGAATCGCCAATAACCAAATGTCGTGCGTGGAATGGAACGAGGAAACTTCAAAACAGAAATGCGAGAAGGTATACAACACATTCAACACACACACTCGAAGCCGTCAACAGGGCGTTGAATTAAGGTTATGTTTGGTGTGCTGATTGTAACGCACTGCATACGACATGACAAGCGGAGTTAGTGAATGGACGACGCCGCCATGGTCGACGCATATCATTAGATTGCCATAATTGGAGATGAACGAGATGAACGCAAACCGGGCACACTTTTCAATTATTCAAATGCGCGCCATCTGGGCATCCACCTATTAATCCTCGTCGATGAACAAGCCCAAGATGCAAAGAACATCGTTTATAAAAGTATAACTGGATACATGATACATGAATTAAACGTTTTCGTTTAATTATACGTTCGATTCATGTAATGTCCGCCGCGTTAGAAGATTCTTCAGGCGCGTATTCGAAATCGACGACATGCGATACGATTCGTAAATATGGAAATGTGGAAACTGCGGAGGCGTTTCAAGCACGTGCTCGCCTAAAAATTCTTACTAGAACTCCAGCGCACAGATCACGGAAAGAGAAAACGATGGAAAGAGAAAGAATCGTGTGTGTGTGACTCGAGCGGCTTTGCACGTAAACTTCTTTCATTATTAGATGTTTGTTAATAGAACCGGCGAACAGGCCATTAACGGACGCGCACCGTCGATCGCCAAATATGGCCGACACGAGTTAGCGCATGTGATTACGGTTTGATATTAATATAATTGGCGGTTGGTTGTGATGTGTGGAATTGTGCATTGACGCACACACACACATCCACGCTGTTAATTTTATCTTAGCGCCATTCCATTTATGGTTATTGGCAATATAATAAGAAATCCGTTAGTGTACGTGTGTTGGACATTGCAATAACAATAAAATTGTTTTCGTTTAATGCAGAGTTCAATTATAAAACAATTTGTTTTTTTATTGACTCAACATTTATGGTAAAAGAATAATTTAGAAGAATTTTAGTCTTCTATGCGAACAATGACCTTTAAAATTTAAATTTCGTTCAATCACAACATGTATAGCATCCTTGCCCTAACATCTAACAAACTGGTCGTCAAATATTTGAAGTGCGCAGACACTCGAACCTTCAAGCACGCGTCCCACAATCACTTGACTAATCAGCACCGGCGCGCCACTTGACGAACTACTTATTACACGCATAAAAACAACGCATTATAAACGATGAAAACTGCAAGATGGCGCATAATATTAAACAAAAGTCGCGTGACTTATTTACTCAACTACTCATCGAGTGAATCTTGATGCGACCGCGCATATCAATAATAAAAGTGAATGTGTCATCTAATGATAATCATGCAATTTTACGATTGAAGACATAGTTGGAATTTAATACATTAGTTAATGCATATTAGATATGTATTAAATTTCCTAGTGAGTCTACGCGTACGTGACAAGCGGCATAAACATTTTGTTGACGATTTCAGTTTGCGATGCGCACCTGTATATTTAATTACGACGTCCTAGCTAATTGTTAATTAGCATTCACGTCTTCACGTTGCATTGTTGTAAGCTGAAATACTAAATACTGTAGATTAAAAGTGATTGGATAATTTCTGCGCAAATATTAGTTTTTCTCATGCGTTTCGCTTCGTATATCAAGCAAGATAACCGCGTGATTTTCTTCGCTTGCAACGTCGCGGGGTTTGAATTGCAGCTTCTGTGCCGTGCGCGTAATTGGCATCGCATTAGATTGCATTACAACTTACAAGAAGTGTCCCCGTTTCGTTCTGCCTTCTTAGCAGCCGCGCGGTCAAATCGAAAGAATAAGACGAAAATAAAACGCAGATTAATCTGTCTCGGCGCACTGCGCGGCGATCGTAAAATGCGTATTTAAACGGAATTTATTCAAAATAGGTGCGAGCACAGCACGCCCCAGGATGATCATCCACATCCACTGGTCCAGCACCACACGACTTACATATGTAATTCATTTATGGAAATGCGTATAAACTAACAAGCTTATTGTGCGGATTAAAAACCCAAGACGCAGTAAAAATATTTTAAGTGAAATCCGGCGCGGTGAAATTTGCATCATAATTAAATCATTTATAAGACTTAAGCAACTCGAAATATCACTGAGATATTTTCGTGCAGAGGTGAGAGGAAGAACAAACCTGTATGCCGGTAGTGCCGGTGCGGTGCGCAGTGCAGCAACCCGACACAACCTGCCTGCATTTCGACGCTCTTTTCATCTTTTCCAAAGCAATGCGGAATACCGTGCGCCGGCCGTACCCGCACCGTCGTCGTCGTGAACGTGCACGGAGCGCGCACACGAGAGAAAGATTTAGGTACACGGCGTGCGCATCTCTCGCTGAGCGCGCGCGGCATTGACTTTGCCCTGTGCGCCGAAGATTCGACGACTCTCGCCGTGAACCGCGAAGCAATAGCAATGGTCAGAGACGTCTCACAAGAGGCCGCATCTCTCGCACACACCATGAGCATATTTTTATTACACGGCATGCCTCGCAGGTGATTCCTCACAAAGAAATAAAATATCGGCGCCCGGCCTCCTTCCTCCTCTTAAAACCTAGACGACTTTTGTTTTGATTACGAGCGCTTATCGCGCTAATATTTTTATCTTCATTTTAGGAATTGTCTGCGTTTGGCGTAAAATAATTAACTAACTTACCTTGTCAGCTATGCAGCGAGTCCCCTTGTTCGCGTATATATAAGTAGCGTCAACTTGTTCTTCAGCTCCCGGTGTGCGCGCTCGGTTTGGTAGCAGCAACCTTTATTTACACCCACAGACGAAGAAGACACACGACGCGAAGATGTTCAAACGCACTGGTTGTTTGTAATCTTCGAGATTGTTTCAGTACGCTGCGCGATTGTGATGTTGTTTGTGGCTGCACGCACAATAAAGCCGGCAGCGTGCGCGCACACGACAATATTTATTTATAAATCGCTTTCTTTGGCGTGCGGAACGCCGTGAGCCACCGGGCAAGTGTTTGCGAACGCGTTGATGCACCGAGACCGACTGAGGTTGCGATTGGAGGCGCACGCTGTGCTTAGCTCGGTCATCGACAATCGTGACCGGCCCGCTGCAAGCGCGTCTCTGTCTCCGAAACCGGCAAGCAAGCTACGCCTGCGTACAAGGCGCAAAGACTTCCGTAGCCGAGTGAAGTTGACTCAAGTTAAAAGCAACCTGAGAATTACAGCAATTATAACCGCTATTTACTTGTTTCCAATTTAAACTAGAGCAATATTTTAGATAATTTTACGTTGTAAATGTTATTCTAGTTTTATTGCTTGTTTATAACTAGTTTTTGTTTGTTTACAAACTTTTAGATAACATAGGATGATAACTCAAGTCAAAATACTACAAATTGTAGTGTTTGACATACGGCAACCCACATAACACCTCCAAACTAAAAAAATTATACTTTTGGGTAATACGTTAGACAACCACATAAACATAACTAAAATATAAATATTCAGTTGAATAAACTTACACAAAACAGCACATTATTACCTTAAGATTAAAAAAAGCACATGTATTTTGTTGATAACACCGGTATAAACGACTTTATTCATAATTTTATTAATTATTTCATTTTATAGATATTATTGCTACATCTTTGATATTTTAATTTTTCAATCCTCCTCCAATCACCACTCGCCTCCTACATATTCTACCCATCATCATATTCTTTACATCTCCATTTATATCGTCAAATAATTAACATGGTATTTAAATATCATTGTCGATTTGTTTACGTTTAGATGAAATATAACTGCTCGTAAATGTGTTGTCATTCTTTGCAAAAGTGGCGTTTTAGCTTCTAGTAAACGAAACCAACGAAAAGATCTCGGATATTACAGCGTTAAACATGTAATCGTGTTATAGACACACACATCTCTACACCATTAAGTTGCATTTCAGCATTGTTTATCTCGCATTTATTATTCTCATTTATATTCTTGTGTGTTTTCATATATAAAAGTGGAAGACGGCTAACGTTTTATGTACTTGCGAATAGAAAAGCTAGTCTCGCATTGACAGTGAAAACAATACATCGAATTGCAAGTAGGTTGTGAAAACATTTAGCTTAAATAGATATTTTGGCACATTTTACATTTTTTACGAGACCGACTAAAAGTTGGAAATATTTGTTTCATTTGTGTGTCTTTACTTCTTTCAAATAATATAATTAATGTGTATTGCTTCTTGTAGATTTAGAATTGTGTTCATTGCCGAATGAAGACGATGCGAATAAACTTCTAAGCGTTTCACAGAAATAGTGTCTCGGTGCGCATCTAGGATGCAATAGCACTAAATGATTGTGTTTGTTTGTTGCTCATTACAATTAGAATGGTATATATCATTAACGCGTAAATCTTATCAACTTAGAACGAACGCTATGGTCATCAATTACTTTCTCAACATGCGCGCGCAATTATTTTACAAAAACAGTAGTCATTCAAATAGGTATGTTACAATTATTTTACAGATTATTCACATACGATAATAATAGTTTTAAATTTATACCATTTCTTCATCAATTTTATTATTTATATATGTATATATGTTAGGAAGAGCAAATATCACGGGTGATAGAAAAAATATATAGCTTACGTTCACGTTTCTCATCTGGCGCACGCACAAGCTATGTTTGTTTCTTCTTTTGTTTGTAATTATAATTTGCTTCACCTCCACGCCTCGAACGACATGCAATAATGTGAATGATAGTGTTATTATTTAGACTTTTATGATATACTTTTAAACTTTATACAAATATCCGCTAAATTTTCATCATCTCTCTCTAATTCGCATCAACGTTATGTAGAAAAGTCTACCCAGCTAAAACCACTAAGAGTCGAAATGTGCCAAGTCTTTTTTGATGCGTTATCTGAAACACACAATCTGGTAAACTTTGTTTAGTAGTAGTAGTAGTAATGACAGACAAATTATTGCTTCTCAAGTTACTTCCTTCGAGCACCATTAACCATAAATTTTGTTTGTTGTTTCAAAATTAATCTAGTATGTTGTCGACAAAATAATTAGTTAAATAAATATGTAAATTGTCTAAGTGATTGTTAATCAACAACGTTAACAATTAATTAAATACAATAAGTTAAAAATTGGTTACGATTTTAGGGTGTGCGAGTGTTGCGATCGCTTTTAGAAATTACTTGATATCGTAGTTTGGTAACTTGCAACCCCTACTTGCAATCTCCTCCATTCCGCACGCTCAAATTTTCCATTCGTACTAGCCTAACAAGTAAACAGGCATCGTGTGTGCGTAACTAATGATAAGTTTCAAATTGATAAAGCTCGCTTACAAATAAACAATCCTAGGTAATATGATAATAATAAAAAGTACCATGTTAACATTTCAATTTTGTGCTGCACGCGCACACTAATAGGTTTAATATAATAGCAATAAAAACAAATGATAAAATATATAGATATATGCTCAAAACTCATGAAATAGTGTCGCGATTCAAGTCCGTTCGCCGATATATATATGTATAGATAGAATAATCGCAATCATGGTTTATATATAAAATCATTAAATTCCCTAAATGTTAATTGTTAACAAATTCACTAACTAGAGCAAATGGTCCGCGCACAATCGTCATAAAAACGGACGCAGTGTCGGTATAAAAATCGTATTTACTATAGCAATTGTTTTCGTTGACCGCTGCTTGATAAAATCGCTTTCGACCCTTACGTAATTTACTCGGATGGGCTTTAGTAAACGCGCGCACGCCGCCATTACCTGCTCTGGTCCAGCTCCAGTTCGCGCCGCTGTTTCGCCCACTCGTTATCGGGCGCGATGAGGCTATTGTTGTTGTTCGGCGGGAAGCGCGATTTTTTGCGCAGCATGCGCGGTTGAAATTGCACGGGTTTCTCGTCGACGAGCACCTCCTCGGGCTCGCACTTGATTTCCATATCTAACTCACCGTCGTCGGGCAGCAGGTGTGTTCGTTTCGTCGGAGACGCCTCGTCATAGTAGGTGTCGGAGGGGCGCTTTCGCATGTCATACCCGACACCGGCGAGATGCAGCAGCGTCTCGGCACTCTCTTTTATCCTACGCTGTTCGTCGTCTTCGAAATCGATTTTAACGCATAGTGCAGGAATAGGTACGCTGGAAAGTAAATTGATGAGCAAATTTAGTTACATTTTTAAGCAAATCCGCTTACATTTTAAGCTTTTCCTCGTCACTCTCGAAAGCTTCGTCGTTGGAGCCATTCTGATTCTCCGCAGCGCTGTACGTATGATCCTGACTAGGCGAATTCGTGATAATCATGCGTTTGTTGGCGCGTTGTCGCGGACCATTCCGCAAGCTAAGCATAACCGCAGCTGCGTCGGCCTCATCCAGAGACTCCGTGTCAGAATTCTCCGTCTTTACCAGCTTGCTCATCTCGTTGGAGAGAAAAGGAAAGAATTCGGGATTGGGCAATCTGGAGGAATAAGTCTTTTCCGCCACCTTGGCCTTGTTATAGTAATCGCCCGGATCCAGTGTCGAGCAGGGATGGAACGGCGAGCGCGTCAACGCCTGCAACAGATTCGGGCGATACTGCTGATCGACCTTCCACAGCGAGCCTTTGCCGAGATTCTGTAAACCCGAAACGAAATATCATTGCAACTAACATCCCAACACACATTCTGGGTAAAACATTTATAAGTACCGGTGCTTTCTCGACCTTTTGGAAGCACTTGTTCAGTGACAGATTGTGCCGCACGCTGTTCTTCCAGCCGGTGGGCGCCGTTTTGAAGTAGGGAAAATGATCCATGATCCACGAGTAGATCTCCTTGACAGGCAGCGCCTTGCGCTCCGAGTCCTCAATCGCCATGAAGATGAGACACGAGAACGAATACGGCGGTTTATTCGTTATGTGCACCATCGGATCGTAGGGTATCGTGTGTGGGTGGCGGTAGCGCGTCTGCGCCTGCTGCTTCATCTGTTGCTGCTGCAACGGCGTGGGCAGCGTGTGCGTTTGGGGGATGGGCGAGTTGAGCGAACTGCTCGACGAGTCCGCCGCCGATATGGACGAATCATCGACGTAGTCGCTCGTTGGCGACTGGTCGCTGAGAATTCCATTCGTAGTGGCATTCCATTTGTTCGGTGTCGTTTGCACGCTGTTCGACGGTGATTGACTGACTAAATTCATACCTAATATATTTTTAACAATTAGGTAACAATGTTATCTTCGCCCCCTAATTAAATTACTAATTTTTAATTTAAAGAACGACTTAAAAACTATAAAATACAAAATAAACCACAAACCTTTCAATAAATCTCTATCTTGTAACCAAGTGAGACTTGTAAGATCATCGTCAGGCGTCTTATTAGCGGTGCCATTTTGTTGTTGCGTTTGGCTCTGCGCCACGGCCAGTAGAAACGAAAACGCAGATTGTGCGTCCCTTGACGGCGTACCAGCCACCGGACTACCAGGAACGGACATCTTCGGCGTCGTGGCACTCTCTTCCTGCGGGGTACCTGCCCGTTCCGGAGACATGCCTCTTTCTACAAACTTATTCACTCCAAGTCCTAAAAATACCCAACGAAAACCAAGCATTATTCACGTGGCAATGGAAAAAAATCAAAAATGGTGCTCCGTTGGAGACAATCACACATAATTACCAAAGTCATATGCGCGTGCGCTTGTGTGAGTATGGTGTATGGGACGCGGAAATAGAAAAACGAGGCAAAGCGCGCGCTAAAAGGGAGATGAAGGTGACAAACGTGCAGCTCCTTTGCAGCGATCGCACGTCATGTCTATTAGACTGGAATATGCACGGTATTTCTGAGCCGCTGGAAAACTCATCTCACGTGTGCGCGGGTTGCGTTGGCATGGCGACGCGCGTTCGACGTGCCACGTTTACCTCGACGACACGACGCTTGTGGCGGCGGCGGCGCCTGCTCGCCGTGTATTAGTGTGCATCGTCTCTCGCGGCGTCATTAAAATTAAAACGATTTTTTTATGAAAGCGGCACTAGCGCCGGCAAAGGTATCGCTATGCTCCACTTGAAAAATTCAACCCTTTACAGATATTGCAACATTTATTCCTTCCTTGGAAGCGAGAGAAAAACTTTAAAGCTTTAAACAAACATTCATCAAATTTTAAATAAATTTTTGTTTGATGTTTGCGTAAAATTCCAGCGTGTTGTTTCTGGTTAATTAATGTTTATTCAAAAAAAATCTTCGCGGGGGTACCCGTCGAGTGGGTAGTTCATTAGTGCGGCGAGGCATCATTCGGCACGTCCGCATTGTCGTCGGGAAAATTAACCGTATCAGCCGCAGCGCGTCGGAAGCGTTAATTACCAGCGTTTTGTTCACTTTGTTGCGTCTCTGCACTCGCGGCCGTTTAACGGCATTCACCTTCGACAAATAACGCACACGGCAGCCGCACACACTTCGTTGCCAAGGTGAAAACCAAACAATGACAATCGATAAATGGCCAGCCACTGCGCTAAATGCCACTCGAGCACCTAATGAATTTACTTATTACTTGCATTCCCAAAAGGGGAACACATCCCGTTTGAAATTCCAATAGGAATTGTGAATTTGCGTTAAAATAAACGTGCTATAGCTTTGAATACAACTTTATTTAAGTTTCGAGATGAAAATAAGCAAAAACTGCAGTTTTTCTCATCGCATCGCGGAAATAGCCTTGAAACAAATGACTACATTGTCCGTATCAGAGTGAATCGTGTCGCACAGGTTGTACTACATCCTGGAGGCACGCTTCCGTGACCTAGTGAAAGCATTTTTGTTTTACCGTTCGTTTTTTAGCGCGCGCAAACCTCGTTTGCAGACTCTCTTCGGCATTCCGCAGAGAGCTCATCCGCAAGCACACCGACGCCGTGTGCACCGGCCCCGCGATCGTTTCGCAAACGCGATTAAAATGCGAACGCGCCCCGTCGCTATGGCGACTCGCCAACACACACCAGAGCCGAACGACCGAGGCGACCGATCGGAGAAGTTTAGCGATCGGAAGGACCGATAATCGCCGCCCCTCGCGTACATTTATTTATATTTTTAGACGTTTCGACGTTTATTAGCAAGCATTACTCTTCGCGCGCCCGATTTGCGACCGTAAATCAATGAATACTAATAATGCACATGGCAAACAAACAGAAAAAAAAAACACAATTCCAAGCGATATCTGATTGAGACGCCGCAAACCACACATTTCCGCGGTAGATGCAACTGTGTGAAATGAAAATAAATTCAATGCAAACATTGAAAAATCAACGATGTCGTTTCGGGTTGTTTGCATTGCGCACACGTTTCACTCGAACCGAGCGCGCTCGCTTGGCGATAAGTTTGGTGAGCGCGCAGAGTGATAAGTAATCATCGTTATCGCGCATCCTTGATGTGCGCTACCGCTACATATTATTATTATTATTGCAGCAGTATCCCAATCACCAAAACAATTGCCATCGATGGTTTATTTTATAACACATCCGAACGCCGCAGTCGCGCAGACAGTAAATAAATGCGTATTAGTCGCATTAATGAAATGATAACATCCACGGCGCAACGCGCGCGATGTATGTTTTGCACGAACGGGCGCAATTATGAATGCGTATTACGAATGCAAATCGCGCATATTATTCTTGTTGCTCGGCGCTCCGCTCGGCGCATTCCAAGTTTCATATTTCCGGAAATCTTCCAGTTCTAGTTCTGTGTCTGCTCGTATAGTTCAAGTTATTAAATTTGTTTCGAAGCACAGACAATATTAGTTCAATATATGATTTTGTACACAAAATGTAATTATTTATTGATGTGATTTATTTATATCTATTACTGGCAAGTACTTATCTCATTGTTGCATCATTGTTAAACGTGTACGTTGAAATTAATTGCGGTTTGATTTGGTGATGAATATGACGATCGAATGATCATCAATGCTACATCATTTTATCAATAAATTATTAGCAATTGTTGATATAATTACTTTTATAGATTTGTTCAATGAAATATTGGAATAATTATATTTCAGTAATTTTCTACATTTCGTTTGTAATAAAATAAAAAATATTGTTTATTTAGTTAAGTATTTAGGACCCGTAGCTCGCAGTTGCGCGTGTAATTAATCACGTAGCAGCGGTTTACCCCCACCACTTTTTGCGGGTCACCCGCAGATATAAAAGGGCAATTGGCATCTGCAAAGTGCTCAGTCGTGCCTGAGTCCTCCACCACTTCAGTTAAAGCTCTCTGGATACCCCCTCCTCTTTTTTTGGGATCAGGGCATGATTACCCTCCACATCTGCTTCTCTACGCGACCAGAAGTACCGTAACCCGGTGGAAAATTGTCAAATTCGTTTTAAATTAAAGTTACAGGTGTTTTTAAGGATTGCAATTACGATTAAATATAAAAAAAACTTAAAACTTCATTAATAGAAGTATTTTAACATTAAAAAAAAGATAACTAACTGAACATTCTTTGAATAAATACAATGTCAGGGTTTTCCATGCCAAACAAGGCTAAACACTCGAAAAGCGTCCTAATTATCGACATTTTAGAGTGCAGTTACCATAAAAACCAATTTCACGAACGAACAAATGTGCTCCATTCATTATCACTTAACAATCACTTACGCAGCACGCATCAATTTACAAGACGCCGTGTAGAGATATTCCCTGTGTCCTGTGCGAGTTATAAATGTTTTCGCCCGATCGTAGTTGAGTTTCGCGTCTGCCCCGTCTGGTATTTTCGAGTTAACGCACTCTCGCGCCCGCCGTCACCTCGGATCGACGATTTCGCCACATTTTCCACCACGCAACGCAAACAAACAAACGGCCAGCGCGAAAAATATATCACCCGCGACACCTTCGCTCCTGTGTGTCTTGTCTTCCCTTTATTTCGCGGTGTATTTATATATCCGATTACAGCGGGAGGAGGACGACGCCGCGGCCTGCGAGGCGACGCGACACGCGGAACGCACAGAAATGTAAAATTATCTATGCCGCATCGCATAGATTTTCCTCGGGGCCTGGGTGCTCTCGCGCGCCGATCACATGTACTCACTAACGACACAAGGTTGTCATAGTTACACATTTCAATACCGTCTTGGTGCGCCGCGACCTACGCGCGGTCAGCATCCAGCGCGTCATCGTTGCCATGACGACGGCGTAGGCACTGACGTAACTACGATGGCAGCACCATGGCGCGCGGGGCAAACGAACCTACCGAATTCGATGATTCGAGCAATGATTAAGTTAACACGATATCGATGCATGTGATGATCGTATGCGCTCGGATTTGTTCTTGCACTTTCACGCTCGCGAGATGCGAAAGCGCAAATAATAAAACAAAATGACTGTCGTCGACGGCTGGCTGACGCGAGTGTTTTGTTTTCGCCAAAGCGTGTAAACAAAATGAACGCCGCTGTCGCAACTGTTGAGCGAGCCGCCCGCCGACGTCGGGGGTCGCAAGCGATGATTGTTTACGATTTAAATATGCACTCGGCGAATTGTTTAGCATCTGTTCTAACCTCTAGCTTATATAATGCGGGCACGTTTCTCGTGCTGGTCGAGGACGCGCATTCGAAACCCGCTGATGATTGCGACCGAAAACGGCGCATCGCCATGTATCGGTATTAGACGACGTGTATGGACTTCAGTGTCGGAACGCGTTTTTGTTTAATCGAAGCCAAATTCGCGCTGATGGCATGCGACTAACCAACCCGACGAGTTGCCAACTCCGAGGGAGTCTCTAATCGCACTTCCAGCACGTTTTCACGCCGATGAAAAATTTTCACAACTCTCAATTGCGATGCGAAACAAATGGCGATTGATTGACGATCGGTCAACGGAAACGTACACGTGCATACATCGTCACAATCGGAAATAAATGTGCCGACGATGTAGGTCAATTTTCGGCCATTTGCGAGAATGAAAATGTTAAATGTGAACGTGCATTTTCGACCGATTGCTAGGTTAATACGGCGTTAACACATCGCGATCAACATCGAGGGTGGTCGGCGCGTGCCACCAGTAAATAGATCACGATTGATTAATTGAATTTGGTATTTACCTTCTGCGTGAGCGGCGAACAATCACAAATCAACTTTGCGAACTCGAGGTACATGCACCATTTTCTGCCAACAAACATATGATACACACACAAGCAGGTCGTGATTTTGTTTGTGGACGATCGTGCGGCGTCGTGCTCTTCGCGGATTTGCGGTGACAGCACCGATTCGAAATGAGTGTCAGTCTGGCGAACAGCGCCAGCGCTAAATTCGAAAAACACTTTTTTATTAACAATTACACTTGTTCAAGAACACAGAATCATAATAAACATTAACTACATCATCTAGACATACCTTAGAACAAGTTACACCTTTGTTTTACTGTTTTAGTACTCAAAATAAAAGATTTTCAAGTATTTACAGCGAGTAAACTTTTTGACAGTTTCCAATTAGTTTTAGATGATATCCGGTTGTCAAATTAGTTCATTTGTTTAGTAGATTCGGTCTACATAACAATATAATAGATACTAACACATAAAACTAAAGATTTCAGGCATAAAATCGAAACAACGCGCAAAAACTTCCCCTAATCAAACGCGCACATTAATTTGTTATTTGACGGTTGCCATTAGCAACAGATGCGACGCAAATGTTTCTTTATAAAATATAGCAGAATAAAATCAATATTTTGGTACAAAATGTTTATTTATTAATGCAATAAAGTGAAGATTTTACATCCATGCTTCTTCTTTTGCCTATATGCATATCACACATGATAAAGAAAACAAAATCGAGTACACAGAATCAATTTCTCAACCTACTAGGTTCATATCTTAAGATCTTATTAAATATTTTATCCTCCAAAAACTATCTAGAGTCACACACATTGCACAAAAACATTTGCCACTGTAAATCATCATCATGAATCCAACAGGAATGAAAATATTGAGCGTAAAACCGAGTTGTGAGTCAATAAATTTGTGCAATTTATACTTAGTATTACAATAAGTTGGGACTTGAGTTTTAAGATGGTATCAATCTTTTCGTCAATCAAATATATATATATAAAAGTATAAAGGTTAAATGTCTAGCATCTTAATTTGTTTAAATTTGAAATATATCTTCTGGTTCACCATGCAGTTGCCGCACTATAATATTTCTATATTTTTTAAAGTTCAAATATATCTGTATATCACTTTCATTTCATAGATTCCTCCCCATTCCACGCTGCTGTCACTCTCACTCATTGCCATTGGTCCTAAAGCTAAATATAAACAATATGCGGATATAGTAACAATGAGAAACAATTTAATACGATGGCGGACGCGACTGGCCAACGTGTGGTGAAAAAACCGCGCATTTATGCTGTGGGCAGTTATTTATTGCAGCAGTTATCACAGACACGCACCGGTTCGTGCCATCCGCGCAACGGTACAGGTTTCTTGCTGACAGAGCAATCGTCACAAACACCCTTGCCGCATTCACGACAATGATGCAGCGGTATCAGTCTTCCAAAAGGATTACTGCATACTTCACAATTCAGGCATTCAGAATCCGGGGTCCAGTACGCCGGACGCACAGAATCTTTGATAAATCCTGAAAGAATATCTGTGTAAACAAGGTAGCAAACTTTGTATTCATAAAAATCAATACCAATTGGTGCAAAACTAAATTTTAAGTTGAAAATATTTACCTTTGGGTATTTCTAAAGCGGAAGCAACAGCTGAGATGGAACTAGCCACAACTTCGCCATATTTACGTACTCGGACGTCAGTATCATCACCTTCATTAGAAAGACTCGGTGGGATTTCTTTGTAGCAATCATCACAAACTCGCACGTTGTCCATCCAGCCCCGGGAGGGCACCGGCTGCGATCGGGATGAACAAGCCTCACAAAAACCTTCCCCGCATTCTCTACAATGATGCTTCGTTGCGGTTGGTGCGAATGGAATCTTACATTTATGGCATTCCTATAAAACATCCATTAATTAATAAAATTTTAATGAAAATATTGTTGTAAACATACTGTTATTTCATTATTTGGCCTCCAGTAACTCGGCGCAATAATATCCGTCACCCAATTAGAGACGACCTTCGTAGGTTGCGACATCACCGACCCAACAGCGTCCGTTATCATCGTCACGCCGTCGACAACGCGCTGCGCCGAATTGTTTGTGCCGAGGTAGTTCCGCTCCTGGAAAAAGGATTCCACCTGTTTGTCATCGTCAAAGACATCCGCGACGCAAGCGAATTAAACACCAAGTTACACCGCAGAGTGCCCAGTTACCAAACACGACGTGAGTGACACCAACAGAGCAATTAATAAACAACCAGAAATTAGCTCCTTTGCTACACAAGCGTACAAACTTAAAATCTACGAGTCTAAAATACGTCGCATACCCCAGGCCAAATATGGACGATCTCCGCAATGACTGCGCGCTCCTCCGGCGATTCGTTGCCGAACCAACGCTGGCGACTTCGATAGATAATTCCGCAGTTGCGGCATTCGATCTCGTATCCGCTCCACATGTAATTCAACATTCCCGAAAATGACTCTTTGGGTAAACCGCATTGTTTCACGACCACACGTTGTCCATTTTTGTGACATTGCTGTTAAAAATAAGTTAAAATCATACAATTGTCACTAAAAATACAAGTCTACTTTACCTTGCATAAATACACGCAATTTTCATACTGATGTTGATACTTGCAGCGAGTTGACGTGGTATGCGGCTCGCCGGCCTCGCAATGGCCCATTGACAGACTACAACCAATGTTGCAAGACTGACACTTGGTTTGGCACGTGAAATACTCCTTGAGGTATAAATGCGGGGGCGTACTTTTGATTTCGCTGCTGAATTTATCATTCAATCCCTTTTAAAGCAAACAATAAAAGAGATTAATATGTTTGGTATAGATAACAATTAAATATATACTTTTAATGTTTTGAGAATAACTTCTGGGTGTCGCTTTGAGCGGACAGTAGTATTTTCAAGCTCCAGCTGAAGAGCAGTCTTGAGTTCATGGAATGAGGTTTCTTTGCCCTTAGTCTGCAACCCAATGTACTTAATGGACGAAAACGAGTCGCATTCCAAATTTAATTCAGCGAATCGAGCGCGTAATAAATCCTCCGGGGATTCAGTCACCCCAGCGCTGGATTGTAAAGTATTTGTATGAATAGTCTCGTGGAATATCAAGACACTTGGGCCAAGGCTATTCGGCGGTTTTTCCTGCTCATTGTTACGCCATACTTGCTGAATGGCCGCTTGAAAATGCTCTTTGTATGCCTTCGACGCGCCCCCTAGAAATGTGTACATATCTCTATGCAATCTCTCGCTGCGCGTGCGATAGATAATAATATCCGAAACGGCTAAAACTTTCAATAAAAGGCGTGTTTTCCTATTTTCATTACGCGTGACGCCTAATAACCCCTCCGTGTCCAAGACGATGACTTGCATGACTGGATCATAGGCAGCCCACACGCCAAGCGTGCATGATCCTTGCTCTGCACTTGTCCTGAACACTTCCTGGCCATGGAAAAACGTTTGATTTAACGTATACGACTTGCCCTCGCCGGTGTTACCGAAAATCGCCACTACTTTCACCTTGGTCCGCGGATCAGTTATCCTCAGACAACTGATAAAGTGCTGAGGAGTTTTCACTCTCAGCTGTTCTTGTTCATCTAAAAGCAGGAAACATGTTTCCAGACTGTTGCTGTTACTGTCCTCATCTGCATTGATATCCAAGGAGGTGAGATCTGTATGATGGATGTGATTGTCCAATGATTGAATGTCAATGCTCTTGATTGAATTCAGTGTGTTGTCCAAGGATTCCAGAATGATTGGACTCTTGTAGTGCTTGTGTGCCTGCTTGGCCAAGGTGTTGTTGTCCATGATACCTCGCGTTAGAACGGTGGCGTTGATATGGTTCACTGAAATGAAAACAAAAGAATTCAAGGTTTATTTTTAGCTGTTTGCGCCTAGCGGCAGGCGCCGAACCGATGTTATCATGTAACATTACGATGATAAGAAACAAAATAACGCGTTTCAACGTTTAAACAAATCTTACAAATCATTTATTCTTTAAAAACGAATGTAATTAAATGCAACTACGTCTTAATTCTTGAGATAAACACACAACAAAAGACTTGTTTATGTCGTGCGGCGCTAGAATGTCTAGAATGTCAGCGTACGCCGTACCCAGAATTTGATCAAGTTTCGTCCGCTGCACGAATCCGATCGGTGTTGTTGGCTGCGTGTTGTTATCACCGCATCATCGGTCCTCGGGCGTGAGTCAACGTTGAATTTGGCACGACGCGCACAGGTAGAAACGCACTGGCACCTCGCTGGCACCCACTGGCCTGCCCTGCCGCAATTCCGCAATCCTATTTACTACTTGTACTTACACATGACACTCGAATTTTTGACGTTCGGCTGGCTGGCGCTGGCGGTTGCGGTTGCAGCGCTCGACGAAATGCGAGCGCGCAGGCGGTGAAGGCGTTGCAGGAGCGGAGCGGTGCGACTTCTCACCGGCTGTTGCTGGTTGCAGACAAGCCAAGCATGCAGGGTTGTATGCGTCGACGTGCGGATGCTCACGTTGTACGCGTGTTAAACGTCCTTCATTGTCCTCCCGGTGATCCCGACCGTACACAATCCTTTTCTCTTTATAAACACTGGATGTAACTATAAACAATGCATACAACAGTTGTTATTTTAGTTTTAAGCTGATTTTGTGCGTAGTATTTTAACAATAAACATAAGAAACTATAAGATTGCATCAGTTGTATGTGTACTTTACATGTCCAAGGTCGAAAATGTTGCGCAAAGTATGACAAACTTTTACTGATTGATTTCCAATGCGGGCTCACGTCGAATCCCTCGATTATTACCACCACGCATCGCTTTATAGCAATTTATAGTAAAGTTTTATAAATTTTTGCGTTTTTTTATTTTGAAACTAAAACTTTCCACGCTCAGGAATAAAAAATGTGCACTTACGTGAACATTTGAATTTGACGGAAGCGCGCACACGAATCACACAGTCCTAGACCAATCGAAGCGACGATAATCGCTACGCGACTTATCAATCAATTAATTATTATAAGTTCATCACGTTTTGCATATGCACCAGCAAATGTTTATCAGTAGACAGCCGATCGTCATACTCGTCATCCGCAATTAATAGAATCGGATTTTTGACTCGCGCGCAATTTGCAGATGTTGCGCGATTTTAATTTAGCCACAAAAATCCGCGTAGTTTTCGCAAACTAGGGTTGCCAAATTATATTTTAAACACAAACAATTTAAATAAATACAAAATTAACATTTTACTGAAAAATATGAATATAAATCACGTCAAATCTATTTTTCGTTGTTTTATACTTGTAGTGCGTATTAATTTTAGATAATATGTTTACAGTTTGTTATCGTTGATGTTTTGGATAATCCTGCGTTTAGAAACGCAAAACGTTATGTTTAGCACACGCGTTTATATGCGTCATAAAGACAGACAAATCGTCGACGTGGATTGTTGCATCCAGCAAGCATCAAACACTGAATAACTTGATACGCGGTTCTATTCGTTGACCGCACACGAATTTTTCGTCGCAGATAGCGTACACGAACTACGAAGTTGAATGAAATTCGGTATGCACGTTTTATTTTGTTAGGTAGCCAAGTTGGCAAAAGTCTCGATATAAAACTAAGCACGAATCAGAAAAATAAACGAGCGAATTCATGAAATTGCCACTTTTTACTGAACTGGTCGAAAGCAGTTCGTGTGTCGCATTTGGATTAATCATAAACACAAGTCGTGCATGAAATTATTGAAAATACAACAAGATTGTGATCGCGACAACAGTTTTGCGTCGCGTACGCGTTATTTTCGCACTTGTAAATATTCCCAGGCGCCTCCACCAAAAATTCACGACGCTAGGTGCGTAATAAACCATAATTGTTATGAAAAAATCATTTATTTTTTTGCATTTTGTTGTAAAGAACGAGCCCATAATAATGTAGTCCTTCCTAACACTTAAAATACACGAATATGTACATAATACAAATAAAATCGATTACTGATCGTTATTTTAAACCGTAAATGATAAGAAGTAGTGTATGTGTGAGGTGAAAAAAGAGAACTTAACATACTACAGGATAGCGAACGCATTGCCTTTACAATACCGTCAAATAAACATAAACTGAAACGAAACCTAAATCAATTCGTCTAAAAAAAAGTCTACGTCAGTGATCTCTCCACGCAAAAATAACTAATGCAAGTAGTACCAAGTAAATATGTAACAATGCCACGGTGGTATTTCGGCGTATTTTCTTCTGTTGGGTAAATTTTCAAACAGATAAGCAATAACAATAACATTTTCCCTCACTGCGTCAATTTCTTCACTTTCTCGTTACTAATCAGCCTTTTCTATGTTTCCCTCTTAACAAAAAGTTAACTCTAGTCTAGATCACCCTTATCTTCTCACTGTTTTCGCTTCCTAATCCTTAAAATTGCTTTTTCTCAACGCTTTCCCATTCTATTAGTAAGTGGTGGTGCACAGTAAACACTTCGTATACATTTTACATGCACTCATATTGTGTTTTCGTATTTGTCTCGCGGCGCTTCCACAAGACGCGTCATATCATTACTAATCCTAGAGGAATTTGTCGAATTGTTTGTTCATAGTTATGTACAATGTTAACAGGTATTCAATCAAATCAAATATAATCAAAATGATTCATAACTTATTAAACATTCTTTAACAATGGTTATCTCAATGAATTGTTGTATTAATACAAAAATATTCTATCAAATGTGCAATAATTTCGAATATAAATAAAACATAATGTGCAAGAATCGTAGTGTAGTATTCCTGTGGTTTGCAGTTGCAGTTGCAGGAAGCTTTGATATTATGTACGATCAATTATATATGATCCGCCTGATTTGATATTACATGGAAGTTCAGTCATTATTGTAATGGTCAGTAGCACAACGCCGATATATTTTTAGGCTGCGTTTCGAAAACGATGTGTTAGGTTGATTGAAATAAATTAAATGTATCACGTAATCGTAATGATAATGCATTGTTAATTCTCTAACAGCATGAACGCCTCAAGATTCACTCATATTACTCTTGATACTAGTATTTGCTATGTACATTTGTGTCCGTTACCGCCACAATCGCAAAATATTCACACCGCTGATCAGAATCCAATCAGAACAGGAGAATATGATGATGTAGAATCGAAAATAAGTAAATAATTATAATTACAATATATACAAACTGCTTCTCTGTGTCAAAAATATAATCTGATGAGTCAGGTCCAAGTCCTTTCGCGAATTGGTCAACAGTCATCGTTAGTCCTTTTATATCTCTCGAGTGTAAATAAATTTTTGGTGCGTTTCACATCAATCTGACACGATTTGTTCATTCGAATCAGTGTAAATGTAAGTCTAACAAAAGTTCGCTTGAATGAGGCACTTTTGGATTCATTACGCGTCTCGACCGCATTCACACTCGTAATTGATTGCTGCCATAAAGCGTAAAACAAATTTAACGTTGATGGTTGTCCCCGCGAGCGCGAATCAAGAGTTTGTTTTCGCACTCTTCGCGGTTTGACCCGGACTGCTTGGTCGCGAGCGTGTTTTGTTCGAGATGGTCACCGTCTGTGGGATTACGGTGAGACTCTTGGGTATCTTGGGTAGATTTATCGGCATTTTATTGTCGACGCTTAGCGGCAGCGTGGGCGTGATAGTAATTGCTTTGGACTCGGATTTTTCGTATTTCATTCCGTCCATTGAGTTGTTTTCTTCCTGGTCCGAAGTGATAGGACTTCTGTTTCTCAGTTTGTTCGCGGTTGACTTGAGTAGTGAGTTTGGATTAGCTGGAGAACCAGATTTCATCGTTTCTTGAAGTCGTTTCTGTCGTAAGTCATAGGTGCGTTTGATGGCGCACATTTTTTTGTAGTCTTCCATTGTAATATGATAAGGTTTACCGCCGGAAATGACTTGTACCAGACCAGGTTTCTTCTCTGGTTTGACCGTGGGATCAATGGGGATTAACTTTGGTCGCCAGTTTTTGGTGATGGGAAACTTGATTTTTTGCGATTGCGGTTTATTGGATGTGTTTCCAGGTAATTTGCTCGCTTGTTGCAGTGAAATAAGTCCGGGCGGTTTGGACTTTGGTGCAGGAACTGTAGTAACTGTTGCAGTTACCGAAGGTGGTTGTGGTGGAGGCGTCGGGGTCGCCATGATTGGTTGAATTGCAGGACTTTGTGACCGTAGTACTGGCGGCGCAGTCGGAAGTACAATCGCCGGGGCAGGCACTACACTCGCGCTTGCAATCGAGTTTGCCTGCGCAAGGGTGAGTGGAATATTCTTAGGCAATTGCGCGTTGTTTACAACCACAGCCGCATTCGGAGTGGACATCGCCATGGGTATAATCGTCGTCTGCAATTTGTCGATTTTCTCCAAGGTTCTGTCCGCCTGCTTCGACGTACCATGATCGCCTGGCGTGTTAAAAGACATTTTGGGATTGTTGAAAGGCAGCATAGTCAAAGGCTGCACGGAACCGGCCGTGCTAGATATGTTATCGTACGCGCGTAGACGATTTTGAACAGACTCTGTGTAGCTAACTGATAAATTACTTGCCCTCGGTGATAGGACCAAGTCGCCATTGCGGAAGTACTTCTCCAACAAAACCAAGTGTCGCAGAAAGCTGCTCTGATTGCCATACGGCTTCTGCAGTTCTTGCCAGAGCGCCCTTGTGTCAGGATCGTACTGAATCGTACTGGTGCACTTCTCCCAACCCTCTGGCGTGCGCTCCTTTACGTTATTGAAATCAATGCTGCCATTCAGCGGCACATCCTCCTCTCCGGGGAACATTTGCCTAATGGAAATCGACGGATTCGAACCTAATCTTTGCACTGCAATATCACTGCGCATTCGCTTCTTCTCCTGAGCCTCCGCTTTGGAAATACGGCGAATGGACAACGTGGAAGACTGCGATTGTTTCTTAGTAATCTCAACATCGTTAAGACACTCAATCGCAATGCTAGGTATAAGATTTCTGTAGTCAACAGTATAATCACTCGGACTGTCTGGTCTGGACTCTGAAGAAGGCACCGCATCATTGGGTTCATCGCTGTGGATATCAATCTGCGGTTCCAACACAGGTGGATCGTGATTATGTCGCCGTTTGCGCTTCTTCGTGGATGTGTCGGATTTATCCTGGGATTTCATGGGCGCTAGAATTGGTTCTGTTGTTTCGCAGTCTTCCATTGGTTCCACGTTGTGGAAATGAAGTAATCTACACAAAACCCCAACAAACACAATTAATCAAGCTCAAATATTGATCATCGACTGGTTTACCTCTTTTTATAGTCCATGAAAAACGATTGCGCATTATTGGAGAAGTGCTCGCCGCTCTTGAACACAAGCGTCGCAAAATAACGACAAAGCTTGCACACCACCGGCTTTTCGTTGAGCTTCACCGGTATATTCATGGAATTAAGAGCGTTCTGCAACTCATTCGATTCCGAGCCCAAATAATAAATGTGATTGCGCGCAAGTCGACGTTTGCACATCGCGCACACCATCAGATGCTCAACGGCAGCGTAGTGTTCTTTACAAGTCGGTATCGAATGCAAGCCAGGATTATCCAAATCAATATTAATCTAATAATACACAATAAATTTCCAAATGAAAACCTGGTTGTATCGATTGTTTTTCAACTAAAACTTACTACTTTGCAGACGGCCTTGCGCATCTTGATCAACCACTTGCGTTTAAGGATATTAGACGCGACCTCGTTGCACCCCAAGACATGGCAGTGGTTTTGACGCGGCGCTGGTGCGATGAGCGCGTTCCTCTTCACAGACTTGCTCATGTAGGCGATCATGTTGACTTTACGATCGACGTGACGATAGCAGGCATCGCACAGGCACGAATCGCGCGTCAAATGTTTCTCATCTAATTGTTGCAATGTGTCAATTAGCAAAGAACCCCTTCGAGATTAAGCGCGCGCGCTACACTTACTTGCTAGGATCTTATCTTGTCGCTCCACGGCTTTAATTTGCCCAATGTGGCACGGCGTATCAAAGAGGCCAAACTTGCCAAAGCAGTACGAACATTCGTCCTTGCACAACCGACCGGGATGAATGCTGAAGGAGCTGGCTTTCTCCGGAATGACGAGTAGCTTACCCGGGGCGGCACCCTCATCGTTCTGATTCGTGTCGCCGTCAGACGTGTGCTCGCTACTACCGTCTGAAAGGCAATTCACTAAATAGTTTCATAAGTTTAACGATGCGTGATTTCGTTACTAGACTAGTGGTGCAAGATTAGAATGAAAAGCTAATCAAAAACTAAGAGAGGTTGTATTATAATCATTCATCTGCGCATGCAAACTGCAATCAAAAAGAACTGAGTGCAATCTATGATTAATATCATTAATGAAATAAGATGGCTAATTTTTGCAAATGCTATCAAATGAAGAAAAAGTGTTTATGCCCAAAACCATTATTTACCCATGTTAGAGCGATTAGAATAGTGTGATTTGCGCTGCGCACCAGCGGTATCTGAAGATTGTCCTCCATGATGTTTCCAACTGGTACTCTGTAAATAATAGCAAACAAATCAGAAAACAGATTTTCTTGACAAAAAAAAATCAACACTAACCTCATTCATAATCTTGTATTCATCCTCATCTACTTTGTCTGAATTATCTTTGTTCCCACTGCTTCGCCCTTTCTTTTGTAGCGTCATCTTGATAGGATTCCGAGTAGATTTCTTCTTGTCCGCGCATCTATTCAACTTAATTACTGTTTTAGCGTTCCGGTATAGTTGTCAGCAGTTTTGGGCACTTGTTTCTTGCGATTTTCCTCAGCTTCCTGCAGCGTTTGCAAGCCGAGCGCTTTCAAAATCTGCGACTTTTCCGCTAAAGCATCAGACGAATCACCAACCGGTGACGAATTGTCCTTGGTTTCGTCCGCGGGCGAATCACCATTGACTGATGTTGTGGACGGCGTGCTCACTGGTGTTTTACTTTTAAGCTCCTTCTGTGCCAATATATCTAAAAGTTCAGCCTCTGCTTCCTCGACTGTGTCTGTATCCTCCTCCATCGCCTCCGGCTGTGGTTGATCTTCAGATTCAATCGTAGCCTGAGACTCAGACTGTTCTGGTGCTATAGGTTCACCATCATTTTGGACTTCTTCGGCAGTGACTGTAATATCTGGTCCGAGTGCAATTCCGACCGCAGTGAGGGTGCTAATCGTCGATGGCACTTGTGGTGCATCTTTCGCGACATCTTTATCTGGAGATTTAGTCTTTTTCATTGACGACCGCGTCTTTCTCCTAGCCACCTCGGGTATTTCCTCTGTAATGGTAACACCCTTATCATTGAACGCCTGTTTCATAATGCCAAGTAGTTTTGGCACGTCAGATACAAAATCTGTCTTGACTGGCGTTGTGGGTTCGCTTTTCGCTGTCAAATTTGCGTTTGTATCACGTTCGACTTCAGGCTGGACCGGAACACTTGCTGCAGAAGATGCTTCCATCGAAAGGCTGCGTTTAATCGCCGCTGAAACATTCTCAACAATCTGCTTCCCTTCCTCAGTATCAGGTTGATTATTCTCCAGAGTTTCCAGTATTTCCTTCTTCAACTGCAACTCTTTTTCTTTATCAGCTTCCAATGCATCTTTGATAGGCGCTTGTTCCTGTTCTGGTTCTTTTTCTTTATCCTCCACAACAGTAGCGCTTGTATCATGCACCGAGGAGGAAAGACTGCTGTCTGATTCATACCCCGAGAGTTTCGAAATTTCACTGCCACTAAAATCAGATGCCAAACGCCGACGCATCTTATACTCGGAATCGAGTCCATCAAACAGCGGAAACTGCTGCAGACGTCGGGTTTTTCCATTGCGCAAAATTCGCATCGGTGAATCCGATCGTCCGGAATGCGTGGAGGATTTCGCCTTCGATTCCGAATTCGGCCGTGGTCGGCCAGGCCGTTTCAGCGCTTTCGCAGCCCCGGCTTTCGGCACGCTCACAATCAACGCTGAGTCATCGTGCACTTTGACATCGCTATGCGTAACTGGAATCTTCTCGATGCTATGTCGCCGCGGCACGTCAGTCTTCGCCACCTTGGTGACGTCCAAATTCAAGCAGTCTATCACATTGTTATCGGAAGCATCCAACTTATGCAAGGGCGCGACAGCGTCACCATCACTAACAGCCTCTTTGGCAACATCGACGACATCCTCTTTCAGCTCTTCTTTCTTTTTGAGCTCAGCCTCCATGTGGGCTGCAGCAGCACCCCTGTGTTTCTTCGGGGGCCGCCCTTTTCTCGGCGCTTCCTTAATAATCTCAACAGTTTCAACCGGCGGCGGCGGCGGCGGCGGCGCCGGCATGGGCACGTCTTCATCTTCCGGCTCCTTCTTAATCACGACCTCATAGAGCGCAGAGTCATTTTCAGCTTCCTTCGCCTTTTTCATCCTTCTAATGGCTTTGGCTGCCGCTGGCTTGGCCGTAACCGGTAGCGCCTCGTCAGGATCAACAGGTTCCTGTTTGATTCGTCGCTTCTGCCGGTCGTTGGCGCTCACAGTTACGTCCTTCGGCGTTGGCGGTATAATGCGTTCGCGTAGACTAAGCGGACGTTTACGTATCACGGCCGCGACTGTCGCGGCACCATTTTTGATCAGCGCAGCCTTTTTCTGGACGGCGGTGCGTTTCGCGCCCTTCGCAAGCAGCTTCGATTTGGAAATCTTCGCTTTTGACTTTGTTTTCAGCGACAGCGTACTCTTAGCGCCCTTGGCAGCCGTGGACGGCTCGCGTTTACGCGCACCAGGCTTTCGTTTCTCCTCCAGCGGCTTTTCGCCCTTGGAAATATCCGCACCCTCTTCCTTTGCTTGCGAGACTTGTGGTGAAGCCGTCGTAGCTTGCTTTCTGCCTACAGGCGACTTCTTTTCACGACTTGCCATGACATTGGTAGATATAAATCAGGATCTGCAACAAGCGAGAACCAAACAAACATAAACCACACGGATCTAGGTGATTTGGCGAGAGAAACAAGGCTACTGTCATTCGTTGTGTCAGGCATCAAAGTCTCCACGGAAGTATTGATTTACCCCACAGCGCGACGTCTGCAAAGTTACAAATTCGAAACTATATTAAAGCGTCCACAGAGCAAACAAAAGTGAAAAATTCGAAATTGTAAACGCTTGTGTCAGAGGCAGCGGACATTAATTAACTTACACTTCGAGCAACCCCTAACAATTAACCCACACACTCTAAACATGGGAAATATCCAATTATTGGAAAATGTATATGACGCAATTAATTTACATCGAGTAATACGCGCTTGATAACCACCCACATTGATTTTTCCAAGTAAAAGCAACGAAAAAATAAAATACAACAAAATAATCGAAATTTATTTCTTGCAATCGACATTTATTCCGAGCACATCTGAACCACTTGTAGGAGTAGATGTGTATTGCATTTTATTTCGTTTTATAAACTTACAGCGGCTCAATAACTCGCACTGTGCGTTCGCCCGTGGAACGCAACTGGAGTAACGTCGGGAATGATATCCGTGCCACATCATACATTATATCTGAATGCAGACGCAGATAATATGAAACACGAAATTGAAAACGCACACACATACACACACAGGCTCAACACACTGAACCGAATAATTTACTAGCAAAGCAAGAAGTGCACGACGCGACACAAGCACGTGTTGTGACAAAACTGGCAGCAGAAAAACATGCGGGGGTTGCTACGGGCGTTCAATAAATACCCTTCGAATTCAGGTAGAAGGTACAGGATTAAACAACAATTACGATTGAGTTCGGGGAATATACGAGTGAATATTCGTTAAACAGCCTGTGTAGACAGAGTAATCAGCGGCGAAACAAATAGAATCCGCTTTCTATTTCGCTGTTTGGCCATTTTGTTTTCGCGATTTATGAGTCCGGGCGAGCTTATAATATTGCCGGCCAAAGTGCAGCATGAAAAGGAATCGTAACGCGCGCGTTTATTTCCAAATAACTTGCAAACGAACAACAATAAAATGAGCAAGTATCGCAGTATGGTAACGTATGCGCGCGCGCGCGGCGCTTTTACAACATTATGTGGCGGGCTGCGGGAAACGAGAAAAGAACAATGCAAGAACACGCCGACCGGCAGCCAAAAACAAAATAACGCTACACAATTACAGTTATTTTGCGTTGAGAGCCGCCGAGTTCGCTTCAAACGCTAAACATATAAAATACAAAAATGTTTTATTACAATTTATAAATAAGAAAAATATTTATTACGTCGTTAGTTTTAAGGGTAGTTATGTTATATCATCCATCTTGTCATGCAAAAATTTTTTTTATTTATAGTTAAAGTGTTAATTTATAATATGAAATAATTGTAATCATACGCTATCGCGGTAGCATCGTCCATGTTTGTCGTTAAAAAAAAACACGAGGATAACACGTTTGCGTCACGATGATATCCTCCGCCGCCTCCTGTCGTCCTGACACCCGCGCGGTAACTTGTTGCGTAGCGTGCGCGAAAGCACGAAACCGAAACGACGATGGCGGCCGCCCGAGAAAAATCACGCTGCGCGCCGCTCACTCGCTGCGAAATGGCATTCGCGTCACGAAGCGTGCGGAAAGTACTGCGGCGCACGGCGGCGACGAAGCCAGCCGGCGAAAACGGAAATAAAACTCAATGTCAGCGCCCCCTGCATCAGCCAGGATGCGGCCGCGGCCCCACTCCGTTGAGTAGTCCGGGGGCTGCTGTGACTCCGGCGGAGCGTTGGCAATATGCCCGACCTGCCCGATAACAAAAACAACAAACACAAACAGTTGACGCCCGCGGAAAAGTTTTTCGTCCTGACGTCTTAAAAGTCAAACGGCATACTTCTACATGACTACATGATTGACGCAATGTAAAGAAACCCGGTTCTCCGCGAAGAATTCGATTCAAGCGTTACGAGTTTCTCTAGCTGCTGGCGATTTCTAGGTTAAAACGTCGTCGGTGGAAAACATCGCCGTCGATTATCTAACGTCGACGGCGGCGCCGCGCCACCGAGGACGGCATGCACGCATAAACAAAGCTGTATGTAGTACGTAAAAGTGACCTGTTAGCAAGGCGATCTCCTCGTTCGGCGCTGCTCGATCGCGCCGTGCGCACACATTCTTCTCGCTGCGCGTTCTCTCGGCGACGGCGTGCAGACGGGGGACGACGTGGCCGGCTCACATTGTTGACCGATACATCATGGGGCTGGCGGCGGCCGCTGGGCCCGAACACACTCGACTTAATCTAGACGAACGGCGGCGGAGATAAACAATGCTAAGGGTTACTTACGTTCCCTGATTCACGCACGCAGCACTCGAACGCCACCTAGTCAGGTTTTGTGCGTCGTCGCGCCGCTGCGGCGAAAGCACGTAGCCGCCCGCCGACGGATGACGGAGGCGCACGATACCAGCGTTCGGTCGCCTCCTCCTCCTCCTTCTTCTCTACGCCGCGCGCTGGCAGGCGAACGCGCCAGTGAAACAGCCTTGGGTCGACTTGCGGCGGTCCGTCGAGTGGCGACGGATTTTCGGGGAAAATTTAGCCCCCGAGCGGCGGACGTCACGATGCCACGCCGACACGCGCGCAATGCACCGAGTGGAAATTGCGTTTTATTTCTTTTCGCTTGCTGCAGCGTGTGATGTAGAGCGCGAATGCGTTGCTCATATGCATCCGAAACACAGCAGCGTTGAATTCGCGCAGCGAGTACGAATGCGAACCGTATCGCACGCTCGTGGTGCTCGCGACTAGCTGCGGCAGCGGCGTCGCCGGCGAAGCGGCACACAGCGCGGAGATAGGGACGCGCAGTTCTTTCGCCAGGAATGCGAGTGGCGGAGAGCTTGGCGTTCCGCCGCTTGTTTCGCGGTTCGCGTACTCGCCGCAGAGCGCTCACACTCGCTCGACCATTTTATGTTGCTCACAAAACTAATGATATCAGACTTTTTCGTAATGAGCTCATTTTCCAGGCGCCACGGCGAGATAGGTTCAAGGTTCAATATCCACATCGTATATTTTATCATAAAAACACAATTTACATCGAAATTAAACCAAATATAAACGAAAAACAACAAAATACAACAAAAATAGGTAATTTTCAACTTTCACAAGCGAAATTTTCCATAATTCAAGTGTTTTAGATATGTTGGAGGCGCATGCAACGACCACTTCTTGCATTTCATGCCGTAGATCAGTTGCAACCAGTTGCAACCTTCAATTCAGGCATCGGAATAATAAAAACGATCATTCGGGCCCGGGTGGGGTGAGAAACAGCGGCAGCGAAATGCGACACGGCAGATGTGCAGCATAAAACTCTCCATCCTCTGATTACCTGCGTGTGCTTGGCTTCAGAAGCATTTCTTCTACATAAACCAACATCTTCTTGTCTTTTTCCCCTCAAGACTCTCACACATTGATAATTTTTCCACTTTGCAAGCCAACTTTCTCTGATATTCACGGATTCCAGCTTGTTTCACAATTAGGGGGTTGAAATCACCACGGATCATATTCATCCCCAACCCCTACGTTTAAATTTATTTCCATCTGCTATAAATACGCGTGGAATGAAAAATTTGTTTTATTTTTCGTCTTGGGCGTTGGTAGAGTGGCCGAAACGAAGAAAACGTTTTCCGAGCTGTGTCTCGCCGCGATCCACGACATTGACCTCGTTGTGTTACGCCTTTGCAGGAGCGGATTTGTCGGCTGTGCAAGTGTGCCGCACAAGCTGGCGTGTCGATGATGTCACTTTTTGTGCATATTATAAATAGCGTGTCCTTGCGGCAGGTGTTGTTCTTACCCCGCTGCAAAAAACGCAACTTTCAGCAATTATTCATGATAATTTGAAACAACTTCATTATTTATCTTCATATTCCAAGTGAGTAAAACATTACAAAAGAAAAGAAATGAAAATTATGTTTGAATACAAATCAATTATAATTTTAATTAAATATTTTATTCATTGTGTAGTCTGCTATGCATATAGACATAATTTAAAACGTACAATACACATAATATTTATTTATAATTTACATTATTTCTCGTCCCCTTTGTGTGTGACTGCTTCATTCTTCATTCATATAGTTAGTGTCGATCACTAAATTTGGTTTCAATGCTTATCTTAGTCGCTAATCAGCACAAACACACGCACCACTCGTCGAAAACTCGAAAAACAGAAAAGTCGCCAACGTGCGCTTGCATTCCATCATAAAAATCTCTCGTTATCTCATTACGTGAATAATTTATTATAATTTAATTTTGTTTCAATAATTTATCGATTTCTCCGACAATCATAGACAAATTATGCATTTAATATGCCTGTGATTGTTGGAAAACTCGTTATTTGCTAATAATTTGCTTAAAATGTACAAGTTTTTAATTTCTTTCGGTTTTTATACAATTTCGTATAGGGTGCGTTTGATTTTCGTCGTTTTGCTTTGGCTGCAGGTTAAAAAATGCGTCAATTCTTCGCAATTACAGCTTATACTCGTAGAACTTATTGTAATACAAGATAAATATCTACAGTTAGTTGTTTTAGGAGAGAGGCTTGCAGGAAAGTTCGTTTTATCTAAATTAAATAAAGCTACAGGTTGCCGCTTATCAGATTTTCACGTTATGAAACTGCAAAACGCTGAATTGATAACGCAAACGAAGAAAATTCAATTTTCACATATTCTCAGCATCGCAGTTAGAATTTAAATATGTAATATTTACACATTGCAGTATTTGCACTTTAGTATCATCATCATATCGCGCGCCATTTTGTTTTTTTTTGTTTATGTCTTTTAATGCGAGTGTTAGTTGTAATGTTAGTTGAATTTATTTCTCGTTTCGTGCGGGTTTAAACGTTTAAAATCTGCAATAAATTGTGAGTCGTTAAATTCAATCGAATCGCAGACGTGCACTCCTACACTTAGAAAATATTTACAAATCATTGTACAATCATTATGTGTTTGTGTTTTTAGTGTAAATGCTTAAGAATTAATTATGTACATGCACACACCGACAAAATGTAGTTTGGTATGTTTGTTTGTATCAAGTCTCAACACAAAATATATTGCACTACGAAAATTATTATCCTAGCAAGCAATTTGCGCAGTTATTTGAAGATAACTCGAAAACCATTCGAGATAAAATAATAATTCTTTCAGAAAATGATTCTATATTAAATTCTGCATGTATTTGTTAAAATATTTTGTTTATCAAATTATTGCACAAAAAGTTATAGGTTATTAAAGCAAAATATTGATAAATTTATAAAATTAACACAAAATCTTCTATAACTTTTGTTAAAAAATAGTTATTAACAAAATTTTTACATACATAGACTCAGAATTTAATACTAAATAATTTTCTAAAAAGATCATTACTCTAAGTTAATTAGTTTTTGAGTTATTTCAAATAAAAGTCACCGCGAATATATTATCCTTAGTTCTGAGTGTTTCGGAATTGATTCGTTGAACAGTCAAAAAGGGGTTGCGTCAAATTAATGCTTCGTTGTGGATTTCCATTGTTTAGACCTTAAATATTCGTTTTCCACCACGCCAACTGGAACTAATCTGTATTTGCAAACGCAATTCACAATTCTTCGTTTATTAGCCGAAGTCGCCTGGTATGGTGTAAGAGTATGACGGACTGAGTCGTAAAATGATAAATCCTGTTTCTCTGCTCTATGCACGATGGCTTCTTGTGGAATTAACACCGCGGACACTATAAGCACGGCTGTCCGAGCGCTTTTTTCAAAAGCCGCACTTAAAAAGCAGCAAACGCTTTTAATGTTTCCTTTGTCCTTCAAGTAACCACATTACGTTTGTAGGTTTCTGTTTACCTTGATCTACAAAGCGAAACTATTCAGATTTTGACGTAAAAAATAAATTGCAAGTACCAGCACCCCTTTAAACAATAATCCGCTCATCATAAGTGTGTTTTTTATACAATTAGAGTACATTTATGGACAAAACGTGCGATATCAGTACACGCTGGGTTTGGCGTCCTCCTGATGCAGATTATTCGCGTTGGCATCCTGCGCGGGATTCACCGGGGGGCCATCAACGTTGAGCACGATGTGCGGCGGGACGCCATTACCCGCCGCCGCCATCCGGCTGTGCATCAGCAGGTGATGATGGTGGCTGAGCAGCTTAGCGCTGTGTTCCTGCGCCTTGGCGCGCAGACACGCGATGGAATTATTACGAAACGCCTCCGGATCATCCACGTACGGCGCCGCCGGTGGTTGTGGTTGCTGTGGCGGTTGTGGTGGTTGCGGCGGTTGCGCTGCCTGCTGTTGTTCCATCTTCACGGGACTATCTCGATGGTTAGCCGGTGGGGGCGGGGGCGGCTGGGTGCACGGCGAGCGAGCACGTGGAATCGACGTGGCGCTCGCGTCACTCTCCTCCGTTCGCATGCTCGTCGTGTCCTCGTGCTCACTATTACTACCGCAATTGTCGTCCTTGAGGTGTTCCGCCGCCTCCAGTGACTTTCGATGCATTCCTGCAAAGATTTCTAGGTTTAGTCGTGTTTTTTATGCTGGGGAAATCGATGTATTGATTACGTGCGTTTCATTTGATTTATTATTAATGCATGAAATTGTCAATTCCTTTCATAATAGCACCAATCACGCAAAACACTCGAAAATCTGCCCCTTTAATGAAACATAATAAAATAAAAGTGGACATTCCGCGTTATCAGCAACGTGTTTCAACTGCGCAGTGGAAAATTTTCCTCCGCGTTGATAATTGTTTTGTTTAGAACAACGAGCTTAAATATCAATGGATTGTCGGAATTGTAATCTGAATGTTTACGCAGTGATTAACTAGAAATCAAACACAGACGAATTCATTAAGCGCATGAATTTTTTTTTTCATTGTTACGTGCAATTTCTTCCACGATTTGCGTCGCGTTTGCGAAATCGGAAGAGAGCACAATGCAAAAACTATATTGCTTCGCCACAAAATGAATAAATGAGCAAAACGAACGCACAACAAAAGCAACTTTCACGTCAGCGACGTTTCCATCCTGCTAAACACTAGAAAACACTCATAGAATGTGTTTGACACATCGTTACTTCTATCAACCGATGGAAAACCATACGAAATAATTATGAATGATGAGAAGTAATGTGGTGGTATCGTGGAGCAAGTGGGATAATGGTCTGCGATCCGCAAGCAGGTAGAAAAACCTTGGGATTTTTGCGTAAAAATAAACTCAACCAGACTACAAAACTCAAAAACGCTAAATGAAAATTTCTTTCGAATTTTAAAACGCAGATTAATTTATTATAGATTTGTGTGTGTGTTGAGTGTTGAGACACAACATGTGTGCATCAAATATAAAAAGTCGCCTGTCGCGATTAAAATGCGCGCAGTAAGTAGATTACGTTGTTGCACGCCCGGGCCGATATGCATAGGTCGCGAGAGGAGAGGACTGGAAGCTAAGTCGGCTAAAACAGCTTACTCAGTGCAAGCAACATGCGTGAAACCACGTAAGCAGCGGGGCCTAGGTAGGACAACACGCCCGTCGCGCGCGCGCGGCGGTGTTGTAAAACACGCGAGGCGCAGGCATGCACCGCGCGAGTCAAAAGGTGTCGGGTGTTGCGAAGTTTGTGGCGTACGGCGCTAGTCAAGCGAGAGTGAGTGTGGTGCCGCACGGGGCCGGAAACTGCGTCGAGCGACGCCGCGCGCGCGCTTGACTCGCAGGCAAAGCAGGCAAAGTTCAGAATGAAACGGAATGTCTATATGTGTGTGTGTTGTGTGTGTGTAGCGGTAACGGGCGTGCTTAGCGCAGCGCGGTTGTAATATAAAAAGGATCGCTAGACTGCTGCGTGGCGCCCTCACGCGGATCCTAAACGCATTCGGTTTGTTGTAAAAAATGTATCCGCGCAGCGTAGTGACGTTTACATTTTCTATTATATCTATATACTAGCCGCTAGCGGAAAGCGGAAATTTACAGTTAGTTTTGTGCCTGATGCGCATGCCGAAGATAGTAAAAGATTTTGAACCTCTCTACATTTCACTATTTTACAATTAATTCATTCAACGCTTCACATCCGCGGGATTTTTCTCATCGCGGCGTTAATTAATGTATTCATTTTTTGTTGCAGGTTTCAAAGATGTGAAGATGATGGCGGACATGCAATGCTTTTTAAATAATTAACCTTCTATGCCATTAAACCACCAAGTAGAGAAAAAATATTTTAATTTATGAATTAAATAAAATATAAAAACGGGAAAATTTTATGCTGAACATATACGAGTGGATAAATAGTTTAGAGTAAGGGCAATTGTTTAAAAAGGACATACAGTCATTACCTAAGAGCCAGGGTGCAACACTCTCATTCTCCTTGGCGCTCTTGAGGATTGTATCCGGGAGCGGCAGCGAGTGCCGCACCATCGCGCCGTATAATCCGTACTCGGCCATTATTGTACTCCTGCCCCAGCATTTCTCGGTTTTTCGCCATTTTGCACGTCGGTTTTGGAACCACACCTAAAAACAATTCATATTTTCATTATTTCATACATCTAACAATCAATCATTATATAAACATCACGTAGAATCATTAATAACAATTAATAAACAATAAATATTGTTTTTCTTTGTATACAAGGATAAATGCGGTGACTATTGATTTATGATATTGATTTTAACTGATAAAAACGTACACAGAGCTAAAAATAAAATCGCAAATTTGTAAAAACGAAAAAATATGATAAATTCAGCAACGCGCGCAATGCCAGTGATATTTATTTATAACGGTGTCACTTGGTTCCGTACGAAGAGCGCTCCGTATTCACGTATCACATAAATAGCTAAACAAGGCAACGTCCTCGATTTACTTTATCTGTATTTAACATTAATGTGCCTTTCAATCCTTGTAACTAATAAATGTGTTTTATTCCAATCCTTGGTTTTACAAGATGGGAATAAACGCGTTTTTCAATGTTTAAACAAATATTTATAAAACCATCAACGTCGTAGATGAGTAAAACGCTAGAAAAACATTAATTTGTTTATTTGGTTTCGCTGATTTTATCATCATAGCAAACATTGAAGAAAAACAAAATCGTCAATGTGGTGTATTGAGATAGGCAACTTCTTATACACGCAAGCTCGGTTGTATACCATGAACCTATAAACGCTTTCGAATTTAGTTTAATATTACGATAATTCTTCGTATTTTGCTGTTTTAATTATAGAAATAATTTTAATTTGTTTAAATATTAATGTAAAATTATGTTTTATAGATTTATTGTGAGTAAACGCAATTTTTCAATTGAAAAGTTTCATTTATTTACGATTTAAAAGCATTTCGCATTTAACCAGTTATTAAATGCGCGTCATAACAAAATAACAACCATCGGCTGTGTGTGTGTGTGTTATTCAGGTTTACTGTTAGGCGTTTTGTTGTGTGCTTGATTTATGGAATCATTAGCGTCCGCCGGCGCGCCGTGGCGATTATTATTTGAATTAAATTTAATTAAAGCGCACAAATATTCACTCTTTCACTTCCATTGAATATGCAACTAAAAACGCGCCAAGCAGATTTATTTAATTCGCCGTGGCGAACATTAAAATATTCAATAAAATAATCGCATTTGCTGGTTGGTTATTAATTACGTCCGCGCAAAACGCATGTTTGTTTTCAATAGTATTAAGCTTTTTAAATGTTGCAATTCGATTCATGCGTAAACTTGATTAAAATTGAATTATTCCAAACATTGCTTTTTAATTAAACCTTTTTTTAATAAATTGAAACATTAAACGCACACACAACACAAAAAAAGCGCGCTAGTTTCGTATGATTATCTGCTGTTGACATAAATAATCTCTGCGTTTGTAGTGTGGGCGGCGACGGAACCCCCATTGACGCATTCACACGTGCGCACGTTGATCATTGTGTGTGCTCAGTGCGAGTATCGTGCGTAATGTGTAATTTTCGTTTGTGGAATAGCGATTGCTTTAGTTGTTGCATTCACTGTTCGATTATTGCATTGGGGAATTTATTTCGTGACTGTTTAGTGAAAATCTAAGCTAAGAAAGACATGATGTTGCGAGAGGGTGTGAGTAGGTAAGTGTGCTGGTAGCGGGGGCGGCAGACATGTAATTCGTGCGACAATGGAACCGATTAGCCCCCAGTCGCGACGGCGCTCGAGGAATTAATTAACAAATTAAATTAGAAATTAACTCGTTCAATAGACGGCGGCGCAAGCGTGGAAATTGACGTAAGATGAATTCACGCACTTGGAAATTGGATTGTTACATGGAAGCAATCAAATTGAGTAAATAATTTTGTGAAAAAATGTAAAAAAAAATTAAAATTTTGGAAAACCAGCAATTTATGGCATATTTTGAGGTTTAAACGGGTGAAAATTTATTTTTAGGTTATTAACAATCAAATTACTCTTAAAAATGCTAAAATTATTTGTTATTACATGAGATACAGAGTGTTAAATACATAAAACACTAAAAAAATTTTTTTGGTGATTTTAAATTTTTTCTTCAACTAAAAGTTATTTTAAGAACACAAATTAAATTACGTGTAGTCGGTTAATGTGCGACATGTAAAAATATCCACCCCCTGCCCCAGATGACTCGTAATGCGTTTTTTAATGCCTAATGCAAATGCGCATCGCGATTGCCGGACGATTTGTTACAATTACATTTGCATAATTGCGTTATGTGCATAAACGCGATAATCTGAACAACGTCATATCCAAGAGGGTTGCAACCATTCCCCATCGTTATCCCCACCAGCAAAGAAAACTCACTTCCTTCGCAAATGTTTCTCGTCTTTCTTGTAACATTTCACCACGCATAAGCAAGCAATAAAGCAATCACAGCCATACCACTTTAAGCAACTCCCGGATTGATGACGTTATCAACGCAAATACAAAATACTCAAGTGAAACATTGAAACATTGCCATCACAGTGAACCGCACGAAGAAAACAGCTTTTAATTTAATAATTGTTTGCCGCTTCTTTCGTGTTTCGTGTTTTTTTCGGTTTTATGTGCGAGGGAGAGACATAACGAGGGTACAAAAACAAATTGCCGAGTAAAAGGGGAACTCGCGCAGCTCAGAGAGGGTGGCACAGTGTCATACACAATGTTACAACTTGCGAGGTTTTCTAATCGCGTTCACCAAATAAAGTGAATATAGAATTAACGCCGCCGCCGTCGAGAGAGAGAATTGATTTACTCGACTGCGCATGGCCGTGATTTATCGTGCGGCGCATGTTGGCGCTAGTTGTCGAATTAATCGCGGTCGGTTGATGATTGATAACGACTTTACGTAATTTCATTATTGCGATATTAATTATTCTTTTGATTCGCTACCAACCCAAACACACACACACACACATAACCTCAATTCTCATCTTTCATTATATCACTAGATATAACCTATAAATATCCACACAAATTGGCGCTGTGCGGTTATTGAATGATTAGCACAACGATATGCAATTATCGTTTTTGTTGACGGGCTCTTGTCTCTTGGCTCGGCGTCGGCGGTTTGTCGCTTATTAACTCGTTAGCCGGGCGTGTGGCTGACACGATAATTATTATCTTAGATATTCTGTATGATTTGACGCGTGTAAAAACCTCGCCGTGGAACAACGGCGTCGGGTGTTGAGCGTTGAGCTAACAAAAGCTTGCTGGATGACTCGACGCTTTTTATTTTTCACTCGCCAACAAGTTGTAACACACATATAACGACATACAGGATATTCCGTTGTTGGAAATTTTATCAAAAGTTGATAAATATTCGCTGATAACTTTATAACAATTTGCATCCGCTCAAATTTATTATTTACATAACTAAATTGTAATTTCTAATAACTGTAATTTGTTTCCGAGTAGAAAATAAATAAAAAACCGAAAAATAAAAATAAAAATAAAAATTGCCACTTTGCGACTTGATTTTCATTTATTCATTCATTCACACACGCTTGTTGTCGTGATGATTACGTACCTGCTTGTTTTTTCCAACAGACGTAATTTGATTACGATTGTTATCATCATGAGGCGTTATTATTATTGCGTTTCCTTATTTTTTGCGGCGCACAAAAAGACGTGTTTGTAATTTGTACGTAGGTAACTACACGCTTCGTGTATGATTGGCCGGAAATGCATGACACCTGTCTGCAACCGCCAACAAGAAATTGTTTAATTTGTTGCCGCGGCGGCGGCCATTTTCTTTCCGCGCGCGCACCAAAGGAAGTGAATAACGAACCGACGAGAGTTTTAACGTCACGCCATAATTGCGTTCGTTAACGAGACGTTTAACTTTTAACTAGGCAAGTTACTAATAATAATATTATATTCTTTGGAAAGTTTTCCTTCTTTTTTTTTGCTTTACCTTTAATAATATCCATTTAAATGTCTCTCAGAACGTCGTGAATCTATATTTTATACGCCAGCGTATAAATATGATTTGTTTGAAAAGTGTGCGGCCATAAATCAGCTTTTAATGCGTGTTTGTTCGAGATGAAAACTCATAACAAAATTCTACGACCAGAACGACCGAATCTGGGGGCGGGCGCCGGCGGAGGAACATTTGTTTGTGAAATCGTTCGGAAAAGAAACGACATGCATATAAACTCACATCGTAAACTTTATCCCAAGCATGATTTTCCATTCTTACGCGATATTATTGAGATTTACGCGTCGTGTAAACCAGAAAAACCACAAAATGTTACAATCACTATAAACACACCTAAAAAACAATAAAGCTAATCGTAATCTATATAAATTCAAATATTACACTCATTAAATCATCGTGATGTGTTTTTAATAAGTAAAAATTAAAAATAAAAAAAAAAAATTTGAAAAAAATTAACGCATGGTATAATATAGTCTGCCGAAGAACATATTCACCTGTCCGTCATCATTTTAAAGAATGATTAACACCTTCTACACCTTCGACACCCCACATCGCGGGCCACTCGTCGCCGCATTCTGCCCTCTGGATAGCCCTTTACGCTCGTGGTCTCCTCTTGCTCTCAACGCGCTGCCATTTTTATATTAAATTAGGTGCTGCGTCTGAATGACGGCGCGCGAATGATATAATGATACTTGTTAGGGGTCTCGCTCGTTAAGGACTGCCACTTTGACCAACAGCGCACAAATGAGTAGTGTAGGTACCCATCGATATATGCAGTGTCTCGTTAATTTCCGCCGCAACAAATTAGGCACCGGGATAGACATGACATTTATGACTATTTTACACGTGTCATCATTTCCAATTCTTTATATATTTTTTTCTTCATTGAATCAATTCGTATGCGATGCGATGTGTAAACACGAAAAGGACACAAGATATTGACTGAGGACGTTAAGTTATTACTTCGACGAAGGTGCTTCACGCGACATGCCCATTGAATACAATGACTGACAGAATGGGCATTGATATGCGATGAGGATTGGAGAATTGAACAATCATCACATCAGCTATGAATGAAACTTGTGTCTTATTTCTTTCGCTTG